TTTTTAAAAAAAAAAAATTTTTCAAAATAATAGATTTTTTGTAAGTTTTGGGGAACCCCCCCCCCCCCCCCCCCACCACCATTTTTGCTTATAGAGTTTTTATATGTTGGTTCAAAGTGAAAAGTTGGTTTCATATCAGCAAAAATATTATTGGAAAAATCTGAAAAAAAAATGAACCATTTGAAAAGTTAAGAATATTAACTTTTTTTCTTAAGGCCCGTGCTCCAGGAGCACCTGTGATCATAATTGGGACTCACCTGGATGAGCTGAAGAGCAGAAGATTTCCTCATAATTTCCTGCCAGACTTGACCAGGCTCATTGACAACCAGTTTGTGAACATATGTGAGCCTGAAAAGTCTGGATTGCCCCAAGTGAAAGCGAGGATAGAAGTCAGCTGTAAGAAAAGAGATTCTATCAAGAAATTGGTTGATTTGATACATGAGAAAGTGTTTGAATTGGCTGATGCAGGTAAGCAAAGAGGTTAAATCCATGCAAAGTATTGTTTTTAAAGCCAGTAAACATTTATGAGATTTATAAGATAATTAAAATCTGCATAATTTTGTAACATTGGCTGTGCTGCTTCTAATCTGATTTTTAATTTAGATTATTTTTTATTTTGGTCCTACGTGATATCCAATATAATAATTGTAAAAAATTACATTTAAACATATTAGGCTTCATTCCCATAGACACCATTGGTCTACATAGATCGATCTAACTGGGAGGGACTCTGGTTGAGTGCGTTCAGACAACAAATTAACCAGACTCGTCCTGGCATTAAGTAGAATACAGAAAAGTTGGTGATAATATGAATATGTTGGAAACAAGAAGAGGTGTGTCATTCAGTTCAGTTTAGTTAAGCAAAGTTGGATTGATCTATGCAGACCAGAATGGGGTCTTTGATACCACATAACTGGTACATGCAAAATCATTTCCTATAATATCTTACTTAATGTCTAGGTAGTAGATCTAACAAACTTCTGGAGCAGAAGATCCCTGCCAAATATTTGGAGCTTGAGGATGTGGTGAGAGCTCTTGCAGAGGAGAGGGAGAGACAAGATAAAGACCCAGTGCTGCATGCAGATCAGTACAAGTATGTTGAGTAACTTAAGAATGAGGGGTTTTAATGTCCTACAGATCAACTAATACTTGAAAAATATGTATACGGCCTTAGATATGTACTTAGACAAAAGAGATTCATTGTTGGCTTTAAAAAAACTAAAAAGTAGAACAGTTGATTAAGAAATTAGTTGAATGATATGTAAATAATACTTTAAAATATATTATGGATCATTTTGTAGAACACTTGTAATGCTGAAAATGGAAGAGATGTTCAAGCATTCCTTCCGTGATCTTCAGGAGCTGAATCAAGCCACTCATTTCCTACATGACAATGGTAAGCAGTCGGCTCTTACTGGGGAATTTTCAGAAAGTAGTATAATAAATAAGCTTATATAAAAGATCTTTACAGAACATGTTTTAGTTAAATTCTTCACATTATTCTTGAACCAATAATGATCGTAGAAATTTGTGAAAGTGTACATATAAGCCACCAAAATTAAAAAAAAAAAAAAAATTGCCATTCCAGTTTGTATTTGTATTTTCAGGTGTATTGCTTCACTACAATGATGTTTCTCTTCGGGATATGTACTTTCTTGATCCCCAGTGGCTGTGTGATATGTTGGCCCATGTGGTCACTGTCAGGGAGATAAACAGTCTGGCTAAGTTTGGTGAGTGCTTGACACTTATTTATTGCATTGTGAAGAAGTCATTGATTTAAAATAAAGTGATTATATACTTATAGTAGTTGCCTTGTTTTTACCTTTTTAATGATAACAAAGATAGCAAAAAGAAACATGCCTTATATTGGAGATAACTTGTTTTGTCTGCTATGAAGTATTGAAATTCAATATGTATTTGGTCATATATTAAAAGAATTGTTGCATTTATTATATCATAAATTTTATAATTGTTTTATGTTTATGGAAAAAACAGATATGGCACCCATTGTTTTTGGTATATGTTCAGGGCACTTATTGGTAACAAATCATTACCTGTTAGGTATCTGATGCATGATGAAAATATTCTTTCATTAATAGGTGTTATGCAAACAGATGATCTTCAGATTTTGTTCAGAAACTCTGCATTCAGACCTGAAGACATTAAGGAATACATCATTGGTCTGCTAAACAAATTTGAGGTGGCTCTGCTTTGGGATGATAAACATCTTCTGATCCCTTCTTTACTACCAACAGAAGAAGAATTGAAAAATGACATATGTGATGTTAAGGTAACTTTTTATCTATTGATGGCTAATACTGCATTTCAAGTCCCTTTAGTATCGTACATAGCAGTGCAAATTTGACAAGGTTAAGTAATGGTGTTCTATTAACAACTTGAGCCACACTAAAATTTGTGTTGGATCATGTTTTTTGTTGTTGTTTTCTCTTTTTATGTACAGACACAGATGTGTCTGTACATATTGCCATCACCTGCGTCTGTCGTCGCCGTCGTCGCCGATGCTGATGCCGATGCCGATGCCGTGAACTTTCATTGTAAACACGATAAGTGGAAGGCAGTTTGACTTTTTGGCTTTATATTTATAGAGCTGATAAATATTCATAAAACGCAGGTCAAGTTTGAAAATCAGCATGATCAGGCCATTATTGTAGAAGTTATGCTGTTTTTTTCACTTTTCAGCATATATGCAACACTGTAAACACAATATAAGAAAAACAGATAGGCCAATTGTCATTAAACTCACAGGAGTAATCAATCCTGCTAAAACGCAGGTTGAGTTCGAAAATCAGCATAATCAGGCCATTATTGTAGAAGTTATGCTGTTTTTTCACTTTTCAGCATATATGCAACACTGTAAACACATTTCAAGGAAAACCGATAGGCCTGTTGTCATGAAACTCACAGGGGTAATCGATCTTACTAAAACGCAGGTCAAGTTTGAAAATCGGCATGATCAGGCCACTATTTTAGTAGTTATGCTTTTTTTTCACTTTTCAGCATATATGCAACACTGTAAACACAATGTAAGAAAAACAGATAGGCCAATTGTCATTAAACTCACAGGAGTGGTCAATCCTGCTAAAACGCAGGTTGAGTTCAGAAATCAGCATAATCGGGCCATTATTTTAGAAGTTATTCTGTTTTTTCACATTTCCTCAGATTCAATTCTTAGGCATGTTAACAGTTTCATTATTTAATTAGTAAGATACGTAAAAGTGTTTGTTTGACATTTCCTGCATCTTTACAACATTGTTAGTTGATTTTGTAAAAATGATGGTAAACTTGTTATCGTGTATTGTGTAATAAAGTTTCAGAAATGGAAATAAACTCATATCACTGCAGTTTGTCAGATTCACTATGTTCAGAATCTCAGAATGGAAGAAATTGGACATTTAACACTGCTCTATTGATATTTTTCCCATCTCATCAATTTTCTTAGTTGATCATATAAAAATGGCAGTAAACTGTTAATTTTGTTTT